TGACCATGGGTCCCTGTTGTGGTCTCTTGCTATTTTTCTTCTTTTGTTTTTGTTTTTCGAGACAGGGTTTCTTTGTGTAGCCCTGGCTGTCCTTGAACTCACTCTGTAGACCAGGCTGCTATTTTTCTTCTTTAACACAACAGTGAGAACGTACATGGCCGCCTGGAAGTTATGTGTATGGTATGACTGAAACCCTAGGCTCTGGCAGGGAGAGGCCTATTATCACCTCATGGATGGGGCAATGGATTGACCACCTTACTCCCTTGCCTCAACCCAACAAGGCCTATGAAGCTCTAGGGCCCTGTGTGACAGTCCGTCTTTATGACCTGCTGTACAAGGGCTCTGCTTGCTTCCTGTCTCTTACATGCACATTTATGAACATCTAGTAAATTCCTTTCTAAAATCCATTCTTATTGTATAAAATTATTCTTTGAGTTTTTGAGACAAAGTACACAGAAGCCACTGTCTGGGGCAGCATGGGTGGCTATTAATTGTCCAAGTTCCTAGGCCCTTGGCAAGAAAGTCTCTGTTGCGCTCAAAGACACAACATTTTGTCTCCATATTGCCATTATCCCTTTCAGCCAAACATTCTAAAGGTAACTTCAATAGTAGGAGCTGACTTGATATAAGGACTTTTATGTAGATCTTCTATGAAATGACGTTAATTGTGCCTGATTTTTGTTTTTGTTTTTTTATTTTTTTCTCTTCTTTTCTTTTTCTTTCTTTTTTTTTTGGTATTTTCTTTGTGTGTGTGTGTTTGTTGTGTTTTTTAAATATAGGGTCTCACTATGTAGCCCCAGCTGGTCTAGAACTTACTAAGTAGACCAGAATAGCCTTGGACTCATAGAGATCTACTGGTCTCTGCTTTCTGAATGTTAGAATTAAATGTGTGACTACTTATCACATCCAGTCTGAAAGTCTCATGTTAGTAAATGCTCAGCTGGGCAGTGGTAGCACACACCTTTAATCCTAGCACTTGGGAGGCAGAGGCCAGCCTGGTCTACAAATCGAGTTCTAGGATAGCCAGGGCTTCCCAGAGAAAACTTGTCTTGGAAAAAAAAAAAAAGAGAGAGAGAGAGAGAGAGAGAGAGAGAGAGAGAGAGAGAGAGAGAAAAGAAAAAAGAAAAAAAGAAAATGTTCACCATGACCCCTCCTTACACCAACCATTGTAAACTGGAAACAAACTAGGTTGAGGAGGAACAAGATCCCCTGCGGAGCTTTCAGGATTCCTACACACACAAACTATGATTAATATTGTCAACTTGATAGAATAATGTAGATTAGCCTTCAGACACATCTGTGACAGATTCTCAAGATGAATCTCTGGCTGTACCTATCTTGATTAGGCTAACTGGGGTGTGAAGACCCTCTCTTAAGAAGATGGCCTACAGCCTGGTCTACAGAGTGAGTTCCAGGACAGCCAGGACTGCACAGAGAAACCCTGTCTCGAAAAACAAACAAACAAACAAAACAAAACAAAAACAAACAAACAAACAAAAAAAGATGGCCTAAAAAGGAGAAAGTTACCAAAGTGGTAGCATCGCTGCTCTCTGCTTCCTGACTGCAGATTTGATGTGACCCATTGCCTCAAGCTCCTTCCCCCCAGGACCTTCTTGTCACAGTGGACTAGATCCTTGAACTGTGAGATAAAATAAGCCTTTTGTCACAAGCAAGAAGGTGGGTAAGCTCACTGGTATAACAGAAGTTATCCTGAGGGTACTCACACAACATCCACACTCTAAGCTCATAACTACAGTCCTAAGCCTCGCTCCCCAGGGCTGCTCACTGGTGCGACCAGTCTTTCATGGTGGCCTCCAGTTCCTGAGTCAGGGTCCCAGGGGAGGTTCTCCAGCCACAGGGCAGATCAAGGTGGCATCTCTGGAGTGTCTCCAGCAGTCCTGAAGATGTGCAGAGCACTGCTTAGCTCTTGGTCTCTGATTATATACTATGCACTGAGTGTCGTGGGGTTCTAGGACTGTGTCTGGCTATCTTGAGTGATGATGTCACTGGGTTCTGATTATCAGGGGCAGCCATGGCTGGAGTTCCTGACTCAGGTATTTTTCCATGTCTGAAAGGCATTTTTTACTACGCTCATCATGCTGTTTCACCCTTAAGCTGCTCTTATCAGCACTTAAAGAAATGAATGCAACGTGTACGGAAGCAAGGAAGGCAGGGTTAGGCACAGAGAGCAACTGACACGCCAGGTACAACAAAGGCCTTGGCTGGTCCTATTTGTGGCAAACTCTGGCAATGAATAGCCCTTTAGAGCTTTCCCAAATTGAGGTAACAACAACAACAGTGGAGGCCAGAGGGCTCTGTATTACTGCTTCATTCAGTCATTGCCCATGGGACCCAAAGTACGGCATAGAACCTCCGGTGAGACATTGACCTGTCTTGGAAGCTGCTGCCCAGTGTGGGAGGTAGCTGTGGGGTATTAGCAGCTGGTAGTCCCAGGAGCTAGGGAATGGGCATGGACATGGGAATGTCATGTTTCTGAGAAGGGATGTGTTTGGAGTGCTATTAAATAGTACATATCTGTGATCTTAATACTCAAGAGTCTGAGGAAGCACCGTCTTGAGTTCTAGGCCTTTCTAGGGTTTACCTGGAAAGACCATGTCTCATCCCTGTACCAAAATCAACAGTCTTTACCATAGCCTATAGACTTCAGCCCAGAGTCTCTAGATGATTGTTGAGTTCATTTTTTTTTTTTTGTTTTGTTTTTTGTTTTTTTTTCGAGACAGGGCTTCTCTGTATAGCCCAGGCTGTCCTGGAACTCACTCTGTAGACCAGGCTAGCCTCGAATTCTGGAACTCAGAAATCTGCCTGCCTCTGCCTCCTAAGTGCTGGCATTAAAGGCGTGCGCCACCACTGCCCGGCGATTGTTGAATTCTTTATGCATCCAAGTAGTTCAGGGAGATATCACATTCATACGAGAGGCACTGGAGAATACAGGACAGAGGAAACCTGGATTTGAATTCACTTAGCCATTGTGTGGTCATGGGCTCTGTATCTTAATCTGTAGAATCGGATCTGTCAGTGTTGGAGGGGAAGAGACACAGCTCCAGCTCCACTTTGTCCCTCTCAACATCATGAATAGTTCAACCTAAGTTTTTAGGGACTTTGACTGAGACCAAACCAGGGTTCATAATTTTGATGCAGTGAAGAAGTTCAGCTGCCAGTGGTGGTGGCGGCAGGTGGCTCTCTGAATTTCAGAACAGCCAGGGTTGGTTACATTGAGAAATCCTGTCTCAAAGCCCAACCCCCCCCCCCCAAAAAAAACTTCCTGGCTTGTAGCCCAATATTTAGACCAGGACGGCCTCAAATTCACAGAGGTCTATCTATCCCTGCTGAATTAAAGGGATGCTCCATTATACACAGAAGATTTTTTTTCTTTTTTATTTATTTTTAATTTTTTTATTGGATGTTTTATTTACATTACACAGAAGATTTTATTAAGTATTTTAAGATTAATTAATGCTTCTTTTTCTCCTCTTCTTCCTCCTCCTCTTTCTCCTTTTTTTCTCTTTTTTTTGGTTTTTCTCTTTCTTTCTTTCCTTCTTTCTTTGTTTGTTTTTTTGTTTTTTTGTTTTTGTTTTTCGAGACAGGGTTTCTCTGTGCAGCCCTGGCTGTCCTGGAACTCACTCTGTTGACCAGGCTGGCCTCGAACTCAGAAATCCTCCTGCCTCTGCCTCCCAAGTGCTGGGATTAACGGCATGCGCCACCACTGCCTGGCCTCCTTCTCCTTATTATTATTATTATTGTTATTATTGTTAGACAGGTCTCACTGTATATAGTTTCTTTCTGGCTGTCCTGGAATTCACTATCTATATCAACCTTGAGCTCAGAGAGGCACCTGCCTCTCCCTCCAAAGTGCTGGGATTACAAGTGTGTGTCACCATGCCTGGCTAGTCGATATTTTAGCATCGGTGTGGGCTTCTCTACTAGAGAGTCACAGAAAGCAAGGCATGCTTAAGCATGGGTGTGGGTTCTTCAAGGGAGAGTTATGATTAATTGTCTTAGCATTAGCCATATATACCTCCACCCCCTGCCCTGCCCCGCTACAGTGCTCATGTTATATCGTAAAAGGTTGCTATAGAAACTTTAAATAATAGGAGGTTAGAGCTCCAAAGATGCCTTGGATGGAAGCAGGAGCCACCAGGGTTGCACTCCCGCCTCTGGTGAGAGTCCTAGAAAATGGCAGGGTTTTCAGCTGGGAACACACAAGGGTCTTAGGCAGGTGCTAGTTGTGCTGGGTTCTTCTTAGTTGTTGAGAAGCTCCAACTAAAATCCTGGGTGAGGGGCTGCTTTTCTTTTTCATACCTTTCTAGCCCACCCCAGGGTTGTCTTTAGGATCAAGAGAACGAATGTGTGAGGCAGGGTCTTTCCCATCAGCATAGGAGAAGCCAGTTTTGTGAGGAACAGGAGGAAGGGCAGAAGAAACAGAGCCTGGCCAACCTCCTTACCTTCTAGCTTCTATATGTCAGAGAAAGCCACCCCCGTCCCCAGATTACACGTGTCACAGATGTATCTGTTATTCTAGAGCTGAGATAATTGGTTTTAAAGTCTCTTTCTTATCTTTGCTGCTAGCCAGCAATAATTGTGTGTGTAGTAGCTGTGTGTCTGAGCAGACAGAGGGAGCAGCGAGCTGTGACAGGCGTTCCCAACATGGCCTGTGCTCTGCTTGAAATCAGGGCCCACCTCCAGATCCGAAACCTCATAACCCGACAGTGTCTGGCAGAGTTTCTGGGTGTGTTTGTGCTCTTGGTAGGTGGGGTAGTAGAGGGGAAGTGAGAAGGGAGGTCAGTTTCTGGCTCTTCTTACTGTTATTTCCTCTGGTGATCCACTTCCTTTCACCTAATTTCTTTTCCTTCTCTTAGTCCCTCTTCCTTTTACTCCTCCGCCTTGTGATTTAAGGCCTTGCTTTGTAACTTAGGCTGGGCTCCACAGTCTCCAAAGAGCCTCCCAGATTAGCCTAGTTTTACTCTTTTTTAAAAAGTATCTTATTTATATGGCAGAGGAGATGCCATGATTAGGAAGGTGGTTTTCCCAGGGCGAGGCTCACTCATTGCACTTCGGGTGTGCTGACCCCTGCGATTTCCCCAAATGCGGGAAACTTGACTGGATAGTTTGTGGTAGTGGGGGACTGTGTTTGTCCTCTCACCTAGGTAAGAAATTGTTTTTTTTTTTTTGTGATAATAAATTTTTTTTATTGGATATTTTAGAAATTTTTTTTAAAGATGTATTTATTTATTATATATGAGCACACTGTAGCTGTCTTCAGACACACCAGAAGAGGGCATTAGATCTCATTACAGATGGCTGTGAGCCACCATGTGGTTGCTAGGATTTGAACTCAGAACCTCTGGAAGTACAGTCAGTGCTCTTAACCACTGAGCCATCTCTCCAGCCCAAGAAATTTTTGTATTTACTATAATATGTAGCTTGGCTGCCTGGAACCCACAGAGACTCCTGTGAATTTGGGATTAAAGGGACTGCTACACTCGGCCCCCACTTCTTCCCTCATCTCTCGCCTTTCTTCCTTCTTAGCCTCTGCTTCTCCTATTCTCCTATTTCCCTTGTTAGTTTCTCGAAATTATTTATTTTTCTTGGTGGCTTTCTGCACCTGCTCAATCTCTTTCCCTGGTATCCTGGGCTCTCCATCTCTCCACCAGCTCCTCACTCAGGGGTCTGTGGCCCAGGCTGTCACTAGTGAAGAAAACAAAGGCAACTTCTTTACCACCTATCTGGCCAGCTCTCTGGCTGTTACAATAGCTATCTACGTGGCAGGCAATGTCTCAGGTGAGTAGGAGGGGTCTGCATGTGGGAGCATAAGATACGCATGTGACTGAGTGACTGGGAAAAGCTAGGTTCTTTTGGTGATTTGTGGGCATTATCCCCTGGAGTGTTCTGGACTGAGACATGGCTTTGGGCTCATCCAGTCCTTCCTCGTCTAGCTCACCGTTCCATTCTTCACACTAGACTCCTAACTCACTCAGGCAGAGATCTATAACAGAGTGTTGATAATTACTAAATTAATAGGATAATTGCTACTGTTTTGTGCCTCACACGGGCTCAGGACCTCTTCAGCTTGTCTCTTTTTTTTTTTTTTTTTCAGCTTGTCTCTTAATACATGTATTAGTGTGGCTGGGCCGAGCCTCCAGACTGTGCTTCAGGGAGGCACACTGTTCAAGCTCATATTTTGGCTTCACTGTATGATCTTGACAAATCACTTAAAAAGGCAATGGATCCCCTGGGACTGGAGTTATGATTGTTTTGAGCTGCCATGTGGGTGCTGATAACCCAAGATCCTTTTGAAGAGCAACCAGTGCTCTTGATCACTGAGCCATCTCTCCAGTCCCCAAATCATTACCTTTTTGAGGCTTGTTTAAACTATGTAATGGAAATAAGCATCGTAGCTAAGTATGGTGTTGTGATAGTGTTTGGCAGTGGTACCTAATACTGTCTTTCCCCATTGATCTTGTGAAGGAGCCCATCTAAACCCAGCCTTTTCTCTGGCCATGTGCCTGGTGGGACGCCTTCCCTGGGCCAAACTCCCCATTTACTGCGTTGTGCAACTGCTGTCTGCTTTCTGTGCCTCAGGGGCCACCTACATTCTCTACTATGGTAAGAGACCATGATTGGGGACAGTTGTGGGCAGAGGGGACTTGCTGTGGTTTAAGTTAAGCAAAGATGGAAACTCTGAGTGTCCCTCTCTCCTGAAGATGCCCTCCAGCACTACACAGGTGGGAATCTGACAGTGACAGGTCCCAAAGAGACAGCTTCCATTTTTGCCACTTACCCTTCCCCATATCTGTCCCTGAACAATGGCTTCTTGGATCAGGTAAGTGTGAGTGGAAGATATGGGAAAGTAAGTCCCGTCCTTTGCCTTGTTTATTGGGATCCCAGCCCATTGTTCAGATTTTGGGTGGAATATAAGGTTCATTTTACCTTGGCACCCTTAGCTTCTGTTGCACAGATGGCATAGAGGTGGTGGCATGGAGTGTTTGAGTGACAGACGGCAAATGAAGCACCTACGTGGCAGTTGATGGCTTTTCTTCTACCTCTGTCAACCTCAAGGTTCTGGGTACCTGGATGCTGATTGTGGGTCTGTTAGCTATCCTAGACAGACGGAATAAAGGGGTACCTGCAGGCCTGGAGCCTGTGGTGGTGGGACTGCTGGTCCTCACCATTGGACTATCCATGGGTGCTAACTGTGGCTTTCCACTTAACCCTGCCCGGGACCTGGGCCCACGGCTCTTCACCTACCTTGCTGGCTGGGGTCCTGATGTCTTCAGGTAGGAGACGGCTTCCCTTTGTACAGTCCTCCACTCACCCATATTAATAGCTTTGTCCATGGTTCTTCAGATTACCCCCTTTCCTTTCCTTCCTTTTTTCGAGATAGGGTCTCACTATGTGCGAGGCTGGCAGAGATACTCCTGCCTTCCAAGTGTTTGGGTTAAAGGCATGTGCTACTGTGTCCAGACCAAATTCTTTCCACTTACATACATACGTCTCTTGTATTCTTAAACCAGTGTTCCTTCTTCAACTGGCCAATTGTCCCTTCCTTCATTGCTCTCCTGTATCCCATCCCCTTTTCACTCCGACAGTAGACTCAGAGGTGTCCTTGGGCATGCCACACTATTACTCTGGGCTCTAGTGGCTCCATCCATTAGAGTCCATTCAGTTTATTCTGCAAGACTAGAGGCTGGACTAAGCTCTTCGGGGGGGCGGGGGGCATCCTTCCTAAGTGCCTCCCATTAATGAATGTGACCCCATGTTCACTGTTGGTTATGTCATGACAGGAACTAGTATGGGGACCTGCCTTACTAGGCCTGGCTTATGGGGAGAGGTGTATCAAGAGCCACCTCTGCCATCTCCCTTTGTCCTTCCATTGCAGTGCTGGTAATGGCTGGTGGTGGGTGCCTGTAGTGGCTCCTATGGTGGGGGCCACCCTGGGCACAGCCACATACCAGCTCCTGGTGGCTCTGCACCACCCTGAGGATTCAGAGCTGTTTCCAAAGGTGATGGCATCTCAACTCAAGGCTTCAGACGTGGTTCCTCTATCTCATCTGGAGTGTAAGCTGTGACGATGGCCAACCTTATCTCACGCTGTAAGAGCACCATGAGCTGGTCAGCAAGCAAGACAGATATTCTTTGTATTAATATGCCAGACCAAGACACTTCTGTTTACCACTCCTGGAGGACTTCAAACTGGTCTTCTTACCCTGGGAGCCTCTAGGCATGCAGTTCCTTAAAGTAGCCGCCAGAGGGTGTGCACGCTGGTCGCTGAGTTTGGGAAGGTTTCTAGAATAGGGTGGGTGGAGGGGGTCCTACGATCCTTTGAGGGGTAGGGCCTGGGAGCTTCTGGAGAGAAGCTTGGTTTCCACTGCTCTCCTTTCTTCTCCGCTTTTTCCACCTTAAGACAAGACAGGTCTCCCTATGGAGTCCTGAAATTTTCTATGTAGACCATACCGGCCTTGACTTCAGTCAAGGGAGCACAGCATGTGACCCAACACACGCAACAAGAATGAATCTTTTAACAAAACCCAGTTCGACTCGGAATTGATAGAGCACACCTAGGGTCTCTCAGAGTTTCAGGCCTTTCAGAGCTACACAGTGAGACACCCCGCCCACCCCCGACTCAAAACAACAACAACAACAACAACAACAACAACAAAACCACTTGTATTCTGCGGGATGAGGGATTTGATTTAGGGCCTAGGCAAGGGCTCTCTGCCTCGGAGCTATCTTTCTGTCTTCTGGCTGCCAGCTCCGGTAATCTCAAAGTTTCCTACCTTTGGCCTGATAGGTGCGCCTCCCCTATACTTCAACGACCGCAGATGGTTCTTCGATGTGTGTGTGTGTGTGTGCGTGTGTGTGTGTGTGTGCGCGCGCGCGCAATATATCACCCAAGGGATGTGGTAAGGGGCAAAGTCAACTTCTCAGCGTCAGGAGGACCAAGCGGAGAAACTGAGGCACAACTCCCAGTCAATGCATAACTGCCTTTTCAGGAAAGTGAAAAGCCTTGAGATGAGCCAGGGCGAGGAGGGTGTAAGCACAGCAGAGTCTTGGGCTAGAGAGAAGCGTGGTAAGGGACTTCTTCATCGTTACTCCCGCATCAGGCTCCTCCCCGAAGATGTTTTCCAGCAGAGAAAGCAGCATTCGCTCGGTTTCTGACTTCCAAAATAAAGCAGCAGCATCCCAGGGTCCTCCATACTCGCCGATTGTCTGCGTGTCCGGGACTGGAGCTTTGGATCCCCCCCTTCTCCTCACCAAGATGGCGCACGCCGCGCCCCTTACCTCCCCAAAGCCCCTCCCGCCCCCCGCCCGCGGCCGCAGCCGTCACTTCCGCCCCGCGGCCGAAACTGACACAAAGTAGCGGGCCGGGGCCCGGGGGTGGGGTGGGCAGGAGAGCCGGGCTGCTGTGGAGGGGCGGGAGCCTGCGGGCAGCGGAGCCGAGCGCCCCCGCCCCAGCCCCCCGGCATGGGCCGGACAGGGCCGCCGGGCGGAGCGCCGAGCGCGGAGCGCTAAGGTGAGGCGCCGCCGTGGGGCCGGGGGTGTGGACCGGGAGAGACGGCTCTGGGAGGCGCGGGCAGCGGTGCCACGGGGAGCGGCTGAAAGAGGCTGGAGAGAAGGGTTCCCCAGGATGGAGAGAACGGGTAGCTGTGCGCAAGCTGGGAAGATGGGCCTCGAAGGGGCGTGAGGAGTTGGGGTGCGAGGAGTAACCCTGGTCGCAGCCTTTAGATGTCTGGAGAGGGAGTTTGGGGCTGATAGGACTTGTCCCGAGAAGGTGGAGATGTCTCTGTGTCCCAGGAAAACCAAGGGTGCCAGGGGTGTTAGCTTTGGGAGCTCAGAGCTGTGTAGTGGGTCCTGGATCCTGTCCTTGGAGAGGGAAGGAAGGTGGCCCCGGGTATTATTGTTTTCTCCTGCCTCGCGGATCTGCTAGCTTCTCCTGAAAAGACTCTTGGTTGCAAAGACGCGGAGGCCAGACCCAGAGGAGGAGCCGTTTTCCTTCGTGGAGCGTTGCCTCCTTCCCATGGCTAGCTATTTTTATCCCAGATGTGGCTGCAGAGGGGGCTGGGGTAGGGTGACGGGGCAAGGCGACGTGGCTGGTGGGCCTAGTCGGTTTAGAAAACCAGGACATCCTGAAAGGGGGACCTTGTT